TGAAATAAGTTTCCCATAAATATTGATAAGTTTGAATAACCATAATTTTATAAAGTAAAATAGCTATTTTTCTTAATTCATCGATATTATTAACATTCTTGTTTGAATTTTCTGCTGTTGCTGCTGCTGTTATCATCGATGATAAGACTTGATGCATAAGTTCTTTGAAAGATATATTTTGTTTTGTTAAATAATTTGGAATTATTTCAAGTTGACCTTTGATTTCTTTCATTATCTTGATAGGATTTTTTTCATGTGTTGCATTTGTTAATAATTGACTCATTTTTCTTGATAAATTTTGTTTTTCTATTTCCTAGAAATTATATAGATATAATTATTAGAAATATAATCGATTTAAATTTATTTAAGACTTACATCCAATTTTTGATTGACTTTACTTTTCTGTTTAATATTCCATGGAAGATCAACTGACATTTTATCGAAATTTTGCAAAGTTTCATCCTATAATAAAAATGGAAAATACTTGTTTGAGAAAAAAAGACCATAGGATAAGAAGATTTTACTATTACCTGTTGTTGCTGTTCTTCTTCTTCTTGATTGTACGAATTTGTATTCTTTGTTGTCATCGTTAATGGAAAGACGAAGATTTATATCTGAAATAAAAAGAAATGAATTCAACAAACAAATGGACATGTGGTGATGTTGTCATAATTACTTGAAATCGAATGAGAATAATAGAAGGTAAATTCCTAAATACGATGATATAATCTAGAACAATAACAATCTAGTTATAGTTTTGAATTTCCAGCTAGATGAAAAGAAAAAAAAGAAACATTTCTATTAGATATTTATATAATTATATAATAAAAAGTATTCTTTTATTATTGAGAAGGAGTGTTGATAAATTCCATGATGACTTGTGTACGTTGTTCAAGAGTGATGAGACGTGCTTCAATAATGGCACGCATGACAGGAACAAAATCATCAATGGACTGTAGATTCATATTGACTATTGGATTGTTATCAGGAAAAATTGTTTTCGTTTTTTCACGGAGAAGTTGTTTACATGAATTTAATTTTGTTTGCCAAATTTGTTGAACAAGATGGATCTTGAATAGAAGAAAAAGAAATATTTTACATAGAACAAGTGATCGGAGTAAATGAAATACGAACTTGTTTTTCAGTTGGATTTAAATCATAGAATGATTTGACTAGATATGCATCATGAAAATTAAAGTGTAACAAGAGTTTCTTCTGTTCAAAATGTACATGGAAAGAATTCAAATCATTTCTTAGAATAATAGCAAACGTTTTAAATACGATGTCGATCGAATTCTTCACATATATTTCATTTTGTAGGTTGAACTTGGATGAAAGTTGAGATTGATGCTTCGACAAATTATATTCCGTTCGTTGTAATTTATTTTGAACGAATATTTTTCGATGTCGAATATTCGTTTTTGTTCTCCTAGAATCCCAATCGATAGAATTTTGTTGAATTATTTCTTTTGATACATCTTCGGATAACCAAACCATGACAAGTAGGTGCAAATTGTCTAAATAATTCCAATAATCTTCTTCAATTTTCAATTGAAAAAAATGACACCATAAATTAGCAAGCCGTTGAACACATTTTAGGGGTGTGGGTGTGAAGAAGCTGCCATGACCGGTTTCGATCTTGCTTAAGAATCTCATCAGATGGCTTAATCTATTCAAGTTTCAAATAAATAAATTTAAAACTAAATAGAAAAATCAAAATTCAATGTTTTAAAAATAATTTTAAATAAATTAATACATAAAAACTAAATTTATAATAGAATCTTAAAATTTTTTGGCAGTAGTGTGAAGAAGGTGCCATGACCGGTTTCGATTAGTGCTTCATGCTTAAACTTATCAACTGCTTCTTGATATAAAAGATGTTATTGATAACTCTCCTACTATATAAGATATTAAAGTCAAAAGTTTAAATAATAAACTTTCAAGCTAATAATAACCAATAAAATACACTCATCAGGAAAGTTATTTCAAGTAAAGATAGCGTATTGGTAGTTTGCGAATCCGTCCTTAAAATTTGATGTGTTTTTACACCGATATCCACTATAGAATGGGTAAAAGATTCTCATAACTACTGTGGCGGTTATTGTACGAGTTAAACTTATCGATTTATTGTAATCAGAAAGGATGTTTGCTATTAATGACTGCGTTTTTATGGAATATTTATGTTATGGTTTAGAAGTTTTCAGAAATAATGAAGTCTGCTTACTCGAATGTTGTGATGTCTTGTTTGTGTTTCAGCTTTAGGGAATATTGTATGATTGTAGTGTGTTGTTCTTAAGATTTTATTGTGATGAATGCGATTAGTTGTTTATATATTAGTTTTATCTGAAATAAGAGTAAGGAAGTATGTTTGCTTTAGTGGAAGGAAACATTGCTTGAGAAAGGGTGCTTCTTTTAGGACAGGTTCTAGTATTTATATTCAAATTTATTTTCAAAAGAAATGTTTGACAATATGACTGTACATTATGGTTCATTTAGCTGTATGTTGATGAAGTTAAGTTATTATGAAGAAGTTTTTAGATTGAAAGCACCACACGACAAGTTTCGTGCTTGCTTAAGGGTCCTCGCCAGGTATGTTGAGAATTTCATAGGAATTACATGCAAGTCATAACCCACTCAAAAGCGTCAGCTAGTTATGGCTTAGACGTAATTAAATAACGACCTCAATATCGTATAATTTACAATTCAAGAATTTAAATTCAAAGAATCATAGGCCGTGTTTTGACTTTGCATAAGAATGCTCATCATTATTGTTAGAATATGTTAATGAATTACGTAAATTAATTTATTTATCTTTTACGCTGTCGTATCAGAGCCTAATTTTGAAGTATATATAGATAGAAACAGAAATTGTGATATGAAATATAGTTGAGCCTATCAAGACGGCGTTCGAGGGTGTTTAAGGGACTCCATATCTAATCTTACCATCTATAAGCATATATACATAGAAATATACCAGCTTTGTGGAAGCTAAGCACTTATGGTTGCCAATTTGTAGAAGAAGCAAAAATCACTCATGTTCTAGTATAAAACCTTGAAATTTTACGTACAACTTGGAGTAGTTGAATCTTTCACTTGGTAGATCTATTGGTATGGAGGCAATAGCTCATATAATTTGCTATGGAAACACGGCATTAATCCAGAAGTGTGGCACAACTTTTGTGTGTTCCCACATCAGTGCTCTTTACCGTCCTTGGTATATAGTTGTACCTATACATTTCTTGGTATGTTTCAGTAACTACACTATCCTTGGGTATATTTCTATGTTAATACCCACTTTGGTATTTAATTAAATCGATAACCTGTTTAGTGTGTGGCTAAAGCTGTACTCCCCTTAGCAAATTATAACAATTATACTGTCCTTGTTATATTTCTACCACTGTACCCTCCTTGGTATATTACTATAGCTATACCCTACTTGATATATCACTATATCTATACCCTCCTTGGTATATTACTATAGCTACACCCTACTTGATATATCACTATATCTATACCCTCCTTGGTATATTACTAGTATAGATGATTTATGTCTATATTAGTTATGTACTTCTGTTATTTTGGATTGAATAAGATTCAGAATAGCAAACCTTGTGAGAAGACCCTTGAGCAAGGTCGAAGCCGGTCAAGGCAGCTTGTCTCACCCTCAAGATAGTCTCACTACTGCCTAGACTAAGTACTACTAGTATAGATATCATATCTATATTAGCAATGTATCTTTCATCGATTTGGATTTTTATCTCAACATTGGATTGTTGTTGTGAGTTTATACTCGTATATCTAACTATTGATTTGAGATTTTATCCATTATGCAATATATGTTCCGAACTTACTCGTCAAGTCCCTTAAGCAAGGATGAAACCGGTCGTAAGTATGCTTGGAATATTTACTTATGAACTCACCCTCAATAGTTATTTTATATTGGTGTACCAATAATCTATATTCCCAGATATTCAGAAAATCATGTGTACCTTTTTATGAATGATACACCCCTCTTGATTCAGATATCTACGTTTCCCCATTATGGAATTTCTTCGTATTCTTTATATGGATAATTAGAACAGTCGACAAGAACGATTAGATATTACGACGTTCATAAAAGCATTAGTGCAAGGTGAGGTCATAATAAGAAAGAATATCCTCTTGATATTATCAGTACGTCATCAGGTCAAGTATGATAAAGATAGGATCAGGAGTTTATGTCAATCAATGAAATAATCGAAATGGCCTAAGTTATTCTTTATTTAGTTGATAATTTCCTTTTATAGTAATGAATAGAAATAGAGAAGAAAGTAGAGAAAGAGAAAAGAGCGAGAGTATAAAAGAACGGTGATATAGTGAGATAGGAGGGTACGTAAAGTAGAGAAAGGAGAAATAATTCTGGAGCAGCATTGAGAAGGAGTGATATAGATAATTTAAGGAAGAGAGTCACTGAGTTAGAAATATTAAATAGAAGTTATAACTTAGAATCGTGAAACGATAATCGTTCTCCATTTATTATTATTGTGTGTATTGTAATTATTTATCAATTGTTATTATCTGTGTGTGCTCATATTGTTATTAAAATAAATATCAGCAAAAACCGTACCGTTATATTTTGATTTATCAATTCACCCAGAACAAGAATAATATCCCACAAAATATTTCGTTACAATATATATAGAGAGAGAAACGAAAACACGATAACGAATAGAGATCAAAGAGATATGTAAAGAGATCAAGAAGTGGAGGAATAACACAGCTTACATAACTGTATGGGTGCGACATCACCATAACAGTTTCATTTTGTTTCTCTACAAGATGTGAAAATGCTTGGATTGAGTAGCACACGTGGTATATGTTGATGAGTGATGATTTGAAGGAGAATAGGAAAAATTATTAATCTGGAATATTTCAAGCCTTTCGTTTATTGAAAATTCCCCACAATCGAATAAAAAACGAAACAAATTCATCTTGTTTTTTTTTTCAGTCAAACACAGCAATTAAACGACTCGAAACTCAATTAATATTGTTGCAGAATGAATAAGACCCCAAATATGCTGTTTTTGAATGAATATATCTCTCAGAAAAAAGGTGAAATATGATTTCATATCAATATTTTTTTTGAGAAGGATTTTTGAAGTTATATTTTTTTTAACTTAAATTAAGATATTATCATTTTCGCGAGCAATATGATGGTATGCTTTTTTTCTTTCCTGTTAGCTGTACACATAGTATACTTATATATGTTCGTCTACATACGAAGCCATAGGGTGAAAACACAAGAATGAAGAAAAAGATGATTCAGAGAGATATATACAGAAGCAAAGATTCTTGTTGTTTCTGCTGGAAAATGTTTTCTTTTAAACTTTTTGCTGGGTACTTTGAAGTACCTCTCCGAGAAAATTAGTACGCTATACTCAGTTTTTCATGATCTTTCCAATAATCTAATTTTTATTGAGTCAACACGAGATCGAAAATTTGGAACCAGGTGATATGTTTTTTTTTATGCCAGTGATACAAAAAATATATAGAGGTCAGTACCATCGAAAAGTAATTTGTCTCAAACAGGTCTCTGAAAAAATTGCCCCAGAACAGAATTAAATTCTAAATCTTTTGATAAATCTTCATTTAAAAAAGTTCATGGGCCGAAAGTTTGAGCCAATTGCATTAGCCTCTTTTAAATCTGCTATAGAAATCATGAATCATGAATGTTAGGCATCATACCATATATGGAGATTCTTTTAACCGTGTAGGTGTACTCCGGATACTGATATAAGCGTTTGAAAATGTCATAGAGTGAGAACCGAGAAGAAGAAAAAACTCGTTGTGTTTTTGTGTCTCTACTCTTAGTCAACGTAGTATAAAAAGCGGTAGTGCGCCAACTATATTGATATTATTTATCTCTTCAAAAAATAAATCGATATCATCAATTGTCTTACAATGTCTTCTCAAATAGCTGTTCCGATCAGTTGGTTTATACATTTCATAACATGCCATTACATTATACGTCGCGTTCCGAGCGATATGGTTCGAATGGTTTTAACGTTATTACCATGTGTATTACTTACTTACATTAGTTGTAATGATCTTCCCCAGTATCAAATGTCATCACTGATCACCACATCAGTCTGTTGGATGGTGTCCATACGTATTATTCAATCGATAGTATTTTCACCCAATGAAGTCTGTCCTCTCTATTCATTCATTTTAAAACCATTCTGGACAATTTTTCCTGTGATTCCATCTGCAAAAATGGAGAAACAATGGCCAATCGTTTTTGATTTTATTTCAGGACTTATGAAATTAATCATCAATCAATGGATTTTTCGATGGCTCATTCGTTGTGAACCAAGAGATAATTATTCAACGACAATCATGCTTTCTATCATGATATTAACAAGTTCGCACATTTCAGATATACAAATAGGCTTCGTTCGACTGATCACTCGAGATAAATATACGCTTTTTTCAATCAGTAATTATCCTCTATTTAGCAAATCATTACGTGAATTTTGGGGTCGACGCTACAATCGTTTAGCCAGTACTGTTTTCAATGAATGTATATTCCAACCGATTAGTGCATGTTCATCTTCGCCGATGCTGGCAGCTATGACAACATTCATCGTCAGTGGATTACTTCACGTGCATGTTAATCTTGTGATTTTAAATGATACACGGACCATTATTCCAACGTTTGCCTTCTTCTTTCTGAATGGTGTTGCTTGCTGCATAGAAAAACGCATGGCTATTCGACTACCAGCACCTCTTGGATGGTTTTTAACACATTGCTTTCTTCTTATAACATTACCGTTATCTATGGGACCCTATGCTCGGCAAGGACCCATTTATTTTGAACAAAATCTTCCGCCACTGTTTGATTCTAAATGGATACCAAAGTTGCCGGTACCCGATATTTGTCTCGGGTAGAAACAAAGTCGAAATATAATTAAAATAGTTTACAGTTTTTAAAGCATACGTTGTCATAAATAAGTGATAGGGTTTTCAAACTTGTATGATTCATTTGCCGAATTTTCGCTAGTTAGAAAATGCTTGATCTTTGAAAATAATAGAAATTCAATTTTATTTCCTCTATAAAATCGAAATTTGAATATACATACTTTAATTGTAGCAACTATATTTTTATAACCGAATAAGAATACTGCAATCAATGTCCATAATTTTTTCTTCAAAGAGATCCTTTAATTAATATAAAATGAAAGATCACTAATCTCAACATTTTAAGGTGTGGACTGTGGGGTGGGGGTGTGAACAGCAGTCAAGACTAGTTTCATCCTTGCTGAACGGAATCATCAGTTGACAAATAATCTAAATGATAAAATTAAAAAAAATTTTAAAGAAACTACAAGATAAAATTATATCTGACATAAATATAGAATTAAAAAATAACTCATATATAAATGTTGATAAACTCGAATAACTGTAGTGTGAACAGCAGTCAAGACTAGTTTCATCCTTGCTGAACGGAATCATCAGTTGCCAAATAATCTAATTGATTAAATTAAAATAAAAAGAAGGGTGTGGGTGTGTTTTAAAGCATACTACGACGCGTTTCGACCTTGCTTAAGGGTCTCATCAGGTAGTTCTATCGTTTGTGATTATCGAGTGTTTGTTTCAATAGTGGTTGGTAGGCGTTTCTTCGCTGATAATGTACTCTTCAGATGCGTCCGTCTTTGGAACTGTTCCATTGAGGTTAATTCGAATCGGGAACAATTTATTTTAATCTGAGTTCGTATTTTTTAATAGCGTTTAGACGATTTGAAAGGGTAACATTTGTAGTTGATCGTTTTTTTGTGTCGTTGGAGTGAGGATGCGTTTCTGTTCAGCTAAAAGATCTCAGCGACTGATTTATGTCTGAGAAGTTTTTCGTTGAGTTTGTAATCAATTATATGTTATTGTTTTCACATTCCTTGCTAGGATGTTTCCTGTTTTAATGGCGGATTGTAAGGAAGAGGCGTCGGTGACGTGTTGTTTTTATTAGGATCCGGAAATTTTTTTAGAATCTGTTTCGTTCGAAAGGATGGATGTCACTATAGGATGTATTCCTCCCGTCGGCTTTGGCGAAGGTAGCGTACGAGTACTTGTTTCTCATAGGTAGCTGTAGAAGATACGGAAGATGTTAATTTAGCTTTCTATAATGGCATGATCTGATGGTTTTTTTATAGATGTGAATGATGTGATCATTTTATGAGAATAGTGGTAGATATACAATTATTTGGATATTCATGAAGATGCTGTTATTGAAAAGGTAATTTGGCGATGATTTGATGTGCTTTTATTGCAGGTGTGTTTGTTTTTCAGATCTACTGTTACATATAATATTTGTTTTTCAATTGAGTGATGTTTTCTTTATTTATATATAGCAACATAAAATTCGGAATGAGTTAGGTTAGTCGCTGCTTAGTTGTGCTTGAGAGTTATGTGTTCGTTTATCCGTCTCAGATTGCGTTTTACCCTGTTTGTCGCTTCTCTCATTCGGAATATGTTTGATCATCTTCGTCATCAATTCTTGTTTTAAGTTGTGATTCAGATAAGTTCCAATGATCAGAACAGTATTCATGATCTCTGTTTGGTGGAAAGTGTGACTCCACAATTCATGTATATATCGGCGATTGTTCGCAAATCGTTTTTCATGTCTTAGGTGAATGATGACGACGTTTTCTGGTTGTGAAATCGTTGTTGTCTGTAGGTTTTAGATTATGATTTTGCATGTTTTTGCCATGAGTTTGATTGGTAGCTGAGGTTCTAGTTACTTTATCATATGTTGTAGCTGTTGATGTTGTCAATAACTGATGACGTAAATAATCGAAGTCATCAGAGTTATTGAACATAGGCAAAATGAAATACTTGGATTAATATTTACTGAATAATGTAGTGAGCTGCCGATGGATATGTCTTGGCGAGTACCTATAAGTCACATAGAAAGAGTGAAAAACATGAATGAATAGAGGGAACATGCCCATTATAGAGAAACATGAGTTTTATTTGCCTAATCTCCTCTTCGAATTGTAAGAAGTTTGTTGAATAACGAACTGCTCTCGTAATAGCAGTGTCAACAGTGTTTCGGAAAACATGACCAGAGTGATCTGATCCAAATGGTACGACATACGGGTCAGCTGCTTCTTTATGATACACTGAAGTTGTTAAAGTGCCCTTTCTGTTCTCAATGAGTACATCAAGAAATGGAACACTTCTACCAATTTGCCGCACTAGTTTAATGTTAGGATGAAAGTTATTAGCTTCATCTAACATTTGGTCGATACATTCTAGTGAGTCGTTCGACGTAAAGAAAATATCGTCAACATATCTAAAATGAGACATAATAGTCAAACTATATTATTTTATGAACTACGTTACACACCGGCCGTAGATTTCATTCGATACTTCCAGTCGGT